AGTTGTACAAAACACGTAATGAACATGTACAAAACACGTACCAAACACGTTGTACAAAACACGTAACGAACAAGTTGTACAAAACAAGTAATAAACAAGTTGTACAAAACACGTAATGAACATGTACAAAACACGTAAGGAACAAGTTGTACAAAACACGTAACAAACATGTACAAAACACGTAACAAATACGTTGTACCAAACACGCTAGACTTTCCTCAGACGGTCGGTACCGGACGATCCTCGGACCGCTCCGTATTTTTGTCCACATGTAGCTTCCAAAGTGCTTATCTGTGTGAAATGCTCTTTGTTTTTGATTTCTTCCATGTCATTCCATCGTGGTGCAGTGATTTGTGCCGGAAGGACAAAGACTGTGAGTTTTTCTTCAACTTGGACGTGGAGGTGGTCCTAAAGAACGAGGACACGCTTAAGATCCTCATCAGACAAAACCTGTGGGTGTTTATCCGTTCCAACTGAGACCTTTCTGCTGACCTCGTGAAGAACCTCTCTGATGTTCCTCCTCAGGCCCGTCGTGGCGCCCATGATAACCCGAGTGGGACGATTGTGGAGCAACTTCTGGGGGGCCCTCAGTGCAGACGGGTACTACGCCAGATCCGAGGACTACGTGGACATCGTCCAGGGACAGAGAGTGTGAGTTCCCTGAAGACTCCAGGGATGAGCTGGGGAACGTTTGGAATAATTCAGACACGCCACAGTTGTAAAAGATTCTAAATAATTTTTCAAATGTCAAAAATGAATATAGTTCATCGGTGCTGCCAGTTTGAGAGTCAGCAGAGTCGTTGCTGCTGCTTGTCCCAGTAGAGTTGCCGTAGTAGAAACATGTAGCGGTAAAGCTGCTTTTTTACATATTTTCTGCTCTAAACCCTGAAGAACCTTTCTGTAAATAATAGTTGAAGTCATCAGAACTTGACTGAGCAGGGACACCAGGCTTTTTCCGTACGTGGTCAGAACTGTCCAGATGAAAGTAATCGCGGGCCCCAGTTGGAATTTTAAAGTGTAGTTTATTTCCATTTGCAAACCTGAAAACTATCAAAGGTCGTCATGACAACTACCTCCTCACTCACGGTTACTCTACTGAATGGACTAACACAAACTAACCCATGATGAACACAAACTAGACTAACAAGAACAGACTAGTCACTAAAAGAACAATGGAGCTAACAGAAATGATAACCAATGAACACTAATTTTACCCATAATCCCTCTCTGAGGCCACTCCTCATCCCTGAGCAGTTTTGAGACGGCAGCGGTCCACTTTGGTTCTGGTCTCACCTCCTGGTGTCAGATGTTTGTGTTGACTCGGCGTTGCGTTGCAGGGGTGTGTGGAATGTCCCGTACGTCTCCAGTGTTTACCTGGTGAAGGCGGAGCTCCTGCGGTCGGAGCTGAGCGACTACAACCTGTTCACCTCCCAGACCTTGGACCCCGACATGGCCTTCTGCCACAACGTTCGCAGCAAGGTCCGAAACGGGCAGAGGAGGGTTTCAGCTCAGAGCCGGGGGTGTTACAAACCATCTTCTTCATGGTCTTCAACCGTTGTTGCAGGGGATCTTCATGTTCGTGACCAACATGGACACGTTCGGCCGCATCCTGTCCACGGAAAACTACCAGACCAAACATCTGCACAACGATCTGTGGCAGATGTTTGACAACCCCAAGGTGAGCGTTTTACCGTGTAAACCAGCGTCCTGGCTCTTTAGGGTCACCATGGTAACCACAAACGTGTCTTTCACTCCCTGACAGCACTCATAAAGCTGATCGCTCTGACTTACTAAAATTTTTGTAGATCTTTTTTTTCTGAAACGGAGAACTTTGTGTTAGCTTTTAGCTACTCTTTTGCAATTTTTAGCTTTTGCTTTGCGGAGTTTAATTTCCAGGGAGAAGTCGTCGCTCCGATACGATGGGTTTCACTGGGAGTCTGGGTGTTTGACCTCTGACCTCATGAGTTTTGCTCCTTCGTCCTTCAGGAGATGATGACATGCTTCCTGTTTTGTTTCAGGACTGGGAGGAGCGATACATCCACGAGAACTACACGCGCATCATGAAGGACAAGCTGATTGAAAACGTGAGTCGACTCACGAGCAGAACTTTTCAACCAACGGTTCATTCTGACGTTACTCAGTGGTGCTGTTCTCTCCTGACCTGCAGCCCTGTCCAGATGTTTACTGGTTCCCAGTTTTCACAGATGTTGCCTGCAAACACCTGATAGAAGAAATGGAGCACTTTGGGAAGTGGTCCGGAGGCGGCAACATGGTTTGTTGTTCTACTACGATCTCTTTGACTCCTTCAAAACGTCTTTGAAATCTGCTTCAGCTCCCGGAGCTGTCTTCTTGTGCTACTGTTAGCTTTCAGCTTACCTAGCTCTTAGCTTGTTTTGTTCCGTTAATCTTTTAAATAGCATTTTGTTTCTTTTAGGTTTTAGCTAGTGTTTTGTTTCCTTCAGCTAGCATTTTGCTACTTTTGGCTTTTATCTAGTGTTCATTTTACAGCTGCTTTTATTTTAATTTTATTTAATTTTCTGCTTTTATCTTGAATTATCTCCCATTGATTGTTGTTGTTGTTGTTGTTGTTGTTGTTGTTGTTGTTGATGATGTTGTTAAGCACTTTGATAACGGGTTCTGTTTTAAATGTGCTCTATAAATAAAGTTGACTTGACTTGAATTCTACTACTTTTGACTTTTAATTAGCAATTCTGCTACTTTTTGCTAGACCCATACTACATTTAGCTATTTGCTAACAACCTGCTATTACTTTAAGTTAACCTTTTGCCACTTTTAGCCATCTTTTTCTACTTTAGCTTTTAGCTCGTGTTTGTTTTACTGCTTTTTTCTTTTTGTAGTGTTTTGTTTCTTGCAGTTAGCATTTTGGTACGTTTGTTTTAGCTTGTGTTTTAATTTCAGCTACTGCAAGTTTAAACTGCAGCCACTGTTTGGCTGTTTCTTTAGCTGTGTTGTTGACTTGTTGTTTATTGTTTACTTGTTCCTCAGGATACACGGATCACGGGGGGCTACGAGAACGTCCCCACCATCGACATCCATATGAACCAGGTCCACTTCGAGAAGGAATGGCGTAAATTCCTGATCGAGTACATCGCTCCGATAACAGAAAAGATGTTTCCTGGCTACCACACTCAGGTAGGACGTCCCACACTCAGGTAGGACGTCCTACTCTCAGGTAGTATAACGTCCCATGCTCGGGTAGGACGTCTCACATTCAGGTAGGACGTCCCACACTCAGGTAGGACGTCCCACATTCAGGTAGAACGTCCCACATTCAGGTAGGACGTCCCACTCTCAGGTAGTATAACGTCCCATGCTCAGGTAGAGCGTCTCACATTCAGGTAGGACGTCCCACACTCAGGTAGGACGTCCGAGTAGGACGTCCCACATTCAGGTAGGACGTCCCACACTCAGGTAGGACGTCCCACATTCAGGTAGAACATCCCACATTCAGGTAGGACGTCCCACTCTCAGGTAGTATAACGTCCCATGCTCAGGTAGAACGTCTCACATTCAGGTAGGACGTCCCACACTCAGGTAGGACGTCCG